TATCTCGATTCAAATCCATCGCGTGGTATATTTGAGGTGGCTACATGGACAAATACATGCAAACGCACACGTGTGTATGGACGCAGGCACACGCGCACGCACGCACGCACGCACGCACCGCACACTCTTTCAGGGACGGAACCAAGGACTTTTTCCAGAGGGTAGCAGATCTTAGGGTCTCTAAGCAGATCAACCCTGCTTTCCCGTGCGTTCTATTCCAAATCCTATACAAAAACCCTTGGGTTTTACTATTTTTCAAAAGACTCTTTTGATTGGGCATGTGTAATTGAATGAGTCCTTCTCTTAGCCGGTAGCGATATAGTGGTCGGTTCGCTTGGCACACGGCTCTTGAACTGTTGGTTATGGATTCGAGTCCCTACCGCGCCGCACCGCGTCTCACACGATCCCTGGTGAAGAGATCCGTCTCGAAATGGCTCTGGCAGTCAGTGAGACTTAAATGCCCATTCATTGTTATTACAATTCGTCCGACTGGGCCCCTGGTTTTTTCTGGTCCTAGCCTCCTCTTGGGCTGTCTGGGCTTCTCGTGTTTTCATCTGCCTCCTTTGTATCTGATGGGTCTTGTTTTGGATCATATAGGGCGTCTTAACGACCACAAGGGCCTGATGGTGTCCTTCGGGGACCACTTGCTGCTCGGCGGGCCATTCATTTGTTTGATATGATATTCTGCCTCGGTTGGTTGGGCTCACGTGTTTGTGTGTTGAAACACCCTAAAATTGCATTATAAAGAGAGAGAGAGAGAGAGGGAGAGAGAGAGAGAGAGAGAGTGAGAGAGAGAGAGAGAGAGAGGGAGAGAGAGAGAGAGAGAGAGATGTGTATATATATATATATATATATATGAGAATTTTCTTTATTTCAGTGTGTCTTATTTTTTAGATGTGTCTGATGGACCTGCTATGCCTCATGACAACGTGCATTGTTACACACAAAGCACGTTAATGTAAAACCAGAATAAATGCAAAATTTCAGACATGCCAGGGAGAGCTTATCATGCCTAGGATCTCTCGTTTTCATGGAGAACTTTGTGTCCTAAAATACGTGGGATGTACAGCCGTTTTGGAAAATCATATGCACCTTATTTCATACCCTTTACTTGTAAAATCATGTTTTTTTGTTTTCCTCTTGCTATTCACGGAGCCCAATCATAATCAAACGCAGAGCCCAACGACTCTGTGATTCGCCTGCCCATTATTGCTAACGAAGTGGGAATATAGTGAATTTTGCACAAAACACATTGGTCTACGACTCTAATAAACAAATGCAAAAATCACACCATAGGCAAAGTCAGCCTTCTTTAGTATGTTAAGCTTTTCATCTATTTGGTTTTGGTATTAGCGTGTTTTAGGTGTGACAAAGCACGTTGTCTTGAAAGCTAGGTTGCGCCATTTTTATGGAGAAGGGGTATACAGCAGTTTTGGAAATTCACCTATGCCTGATCTAACATGCTTTGGTTGCTGTGAAATAATTCGCCGACATTTCCACGTAACCACGTAATACTTGTTACTGCCTGCATATTATAAATTTACATACCCGACACATTTTCATTTCAGCGTGCTTGCAAGCTGCACAGCATTATTTTTGAGGGGTCACCTACTTTTTTGGCCTTTCAGCTTGTGTTTCGCTGTCCTGCAGACATGGCAGTAAAACACAACGGCCTTATAGGGAAGGTTTCACGTCTGAAGATATTGAAGCAAGCATGAGTCATGATGAAACAAGGTCAGCTATAGCTGATGACATACTTTTTAAGTGGAAAAGACTGCTTCAGACAGCATAACTCTCTATTTAATAAATAGGCTTCTCAATGCGCTTGGTTTGATTGCGTCATCGCACCTCGCACAACTTTGATAGAGAGCCAATTGACGGCTGATATATCTGGAAATCGCGCTCACAAACACCACATATGAACGCCTTGACAATTATATTTTTGGCCTTGATCGCCGCATGGCTTATTGAATAGCAGGATTTCAGTGGCGGTATCATGACGTCATGATTGACTACGTGGCTTTGAAATACTCTCCCCGGTGTAACTTTCCCCATTTTCCCGGGCGTGTAGCCCAGAAACTAGAATGGCTTAGGTCTTGAGAAGGGCAGGATTGTGGGCAGCACCAAAAGGTCTTTGAGATATCGATTTCAGTTGAAAGCCCCATGTGAATGTGGAACATTCCCTTTAAGCAAAGTTAACTGAATGAGTCGCGAATTTCCATGACGAACGCGTAGCAAGACTTACTCACTGTCCGAAAAATTTGTGATTGCAGCTGCATTTTGTAGGCGTTTGTACGGGCGGACCGCAGCGCCCGATCGCGGAACGCCCACGGGAGCGTAACTGCGCAGCTCGCAGATATAAGTGGCCTCTGCTAAGCTAGCCCGACACGGGGCAAAGCTTCTTCCAAGCACGCTCCAACTGCACGCGAGCCCTCGCGACGGCCGACAGCGCAGGCGAGGGTCGTGTCGCCGTGCGCCGGCTCTGGCAGCGGCCGCTGGCCGGCCTGAGAATGGTCTCACGCTGCTGCCCACATTCCTGCCTCCTTCCGGCGCTGACCGCCGGCTTGACATTGACGGCGCCGTCGGTCAGCTCGCCTCCTTGTACCGGGAGTCTTGGTTGCTCGTCGCGGCGCAGCATGTTCATGTGTGCCAAAAGGGCGCGGCAGGCGTCGTCACCCACTCTTTCGGGGAGCGCCAGGGCCACCGACTGCGGGGTAACAGTCTGCTAGGTTGTCTACCAGTCTGTCTGTCGCTCTGTCGGTTCCGTCACTCCTTACGTTAGTCAGTCTGTCAGCCTGTCTGTCAGTGAGTCTGAGAGTTCATCATCAATTCCTCTCAGTCAAACCGTTCGTCTTTCCGGCAGTCCGTCCGGTATCCCGTCCGTCAGTCCGTCAGTCCGTCAGACCGTCAGGCCGTCAGTCCGTCAGTACATCCGTCCGTCAGTCCGTCCGTCAGTCCGTCAGTCCGCCAGTCCGTCCTTCCCTCGGCGGCGCCGTTCGGACGGGCGCCATGCTGGGTGTTATCGGCCGTGCCCGCGCCGGCCGTCAGCGCGTCCTCGGCCCGTCGCGCCGGCCAGACAGTGCCGCCACCGTCGCCAGCTGAGCTGATTATGCGACGCCCCCGGCTCGGCCGTGTTTTGCGCAGTGGCTGGCGTCATGGGGCGCCGCAGGCGCCGCCGTCTCGGCCCGACCCTCCGATCGGCCCGCCTTTTGTCGACAAACAACTGCCGAGCTGTGCGCGCCGGCCGGCCCGGACCCGGCGGCCGGCCACCGGGCCGCCACATCCGCTGGCCGGGTAGAGAACGCGACAGTCATGCTAGCGCCCATTCGGAAGATGGATCTATGTGGCCCACCAGAGGGCCGAAGTGGGCAATCTTTCAAGAAGTGGGAGGGACCAACGACTTGCTAATCAGGCACCTTGTTTGTAAGTTGCTGCGGCGTGGGGTAAAATGTGAAGACGAAATACTGAGAGGACGATGCCGTTCCTAGGTCATTGGGCATATCGCCATAACAAGATGTCATCCATCTTTTGAAGGTCGGCTGTTGTAGTTCAGTGCCAGCAGCAACGGTGGGGGGGGGGGGGGGATGGGCAGGTCGGTCCACCGGCCACCAGGTAGCCCACAGGATGCGAGTGAATGTTCTCGGCGTTCAGTCGAGAACTCTTTCGGCAAGCCACAATGTGGTTCGCATCTCATTGAGTGAATCGGAAAAGCTGTGAAAAACGCTTCTTTGACGCATATTCATTTCGAAAGTGCGTACGGGAACTATGCACACAAGCAATCAGGGCGCATGCAGGCGAAGGTTTATTATTCACTTAGTGGCATACCTGGAGCCTAATATTGACATTTTCAGCGCTTAATTTCTTAATCCGCCCCGACTCTTCCAAGTCAGTAATATCTCTCTCCTGCACTCGACAGCAGCACACCAGGCACAGGAGACCTCGGAGTAAGCTGGATCGCCGGTTGTCGGCGCCAGTCATGACACGTATCACCACCAGAGGGCGCTCCTCCTCCAGTCCTCGGCACACAAGCACGCCTATATCTACACACACGCGGCAGCGGGCGGCGGCGCGCCTCGCCGGCCCGGTTTGAGCACAGTCGCCCGGAGCACCGTTAAAAATGTCGCCGGCCGGCGGGCGGGCGGCGGGCGGCCGGCGGCCGGCGGCGCGGCCGGCTCGTCCGGCCCTCCAATCGGGGTCAGGCGCGATCCGGGTCAGGCGGCGGCCGCCGGCGAGCGGCCTGGCCCGGCAAACACGTCCGCCCGCGACCCGGCGGCCCGGTTCGGCAGCCGGAGCCGGCCCGGTGTCAGCCTCCTCCGTCGGCGACACTGGAGAGCGACAGTCTCAGGGGGCGGCAGGAGAAGCGGGCGCCGCGACACCGGAGCGCGGCCAGTCTAGTGTATCTCGGGCGCTCGACCGCGGAGCGCGGCGGGTGCGGCGTCCAACATCTTGTACTGCACACGGCGACCAGCGCGTCGGCGATTCGCTGGTGCGGTCGGTCGGTCAGGGCCCGCGCCGGCGCCCCGCCGCATTCTGCGCCGTCTGTCGGCCCGTCCGAGCACTGGCGCGGTCACCTGTCGACGACCTGTCGTCCGGCATTCCCAGCGACCACGCCGCGGCGCTGACCCGTCCGCCGGTCCGGTCCGGTCCGGCGGGCCGAGTCGCGTGCCGATCCGCCGGCCGCCGGCGCGGTCAGCGGCGCCGGCCGGCTGGGAACGCCGCCGCCGCCGCCGTGTGAGCTGAACGCCGGCGCGCACGGCCAGGGCGAACGAACTCGCTCAGCGGCGGCCGTTTTTGCGTCGCCGCCGGCGTCAGCGGTGTCCGTCAGCGCCGGCGTGATGGATGACGTCAGCGGCGTGTTCTGAGCGGCGCGATGAGCGCTGGGCGCCGCCAGCTGCCGGCCGGGCTGCTAACGGGACGCCGGCGTCAGGCCGGGTCGGGCCGGGCCGGGAGCGCCTGTGCCTGCGCCGCTGCCGTGCCGGCGGCTCGCTGCCTCCTCAGGGTGACGCCGCCAGCGTGGCCGGGTCAGCTGGCTGTTCACGGCTGCCGACAAAAGGGCCAGGTCAGAGGTCAGGTCACAAGCGTAGGGACGGCGACGCGACAGCTGCACTGGCAGGGACGCCTTGTGATGGCGATGGTCCCGCTGATGTCGCCTAACAGGCCTGCCTTGGAAAGACAGAATATGTGCTCCTCTTTGATGTTGACAATTCACTTCTAGGCTATCGTGCTGAATGTTCCTTGGCACCGTGACGCGTCTCAGTCGCACGCAGCTGGGCTGAAGGAATGTTAAAATGAAAATTAGCTCTCATGCCATGACTAATACCGGAGTTATACGCTCGGTATGAAAGCTCGGTGAAAACGGGACCGCCAGGCCATGGGACCTTGCAAATCCCGAACTCGTTGAGTTAAGGTGATATTAAATGATCAGCATTTGGGCCAGATTCACCAACGATAAGTAGACATATACATTCCGATCAGCTCTGTCACGCTAAACCATCGAGACATATCGGGATAGGTCTTCCAGGTACGTGCCCTAGGTGCCGGCCAGTATAGGTTTCGACTTCAAGGAGCCGCGCATCGGTGCCGCAAGTGTTCGGCGCCCGGTACCATCGCATGTGTTACAAAGTTGGTGGAAGCAGCTCAGACATCAGCAGTCGCTCAAAATGTATTGCTTGCTAAAGAGTAAAGAAAACAAGCCCTGTAAACGTAAAAAGATGCAGACCTTCTCGTGAACACACGGATGTGGTGGCGTCAGCGCCTCTGTGATACCAGAATGGCTCGGGACTTAGACGGTTCTTCCAATATGCCTCACTACGACGGCAAGAAAGTCAGGCATGATTGAGGAGACAAAAAATGTTACGCGGACACAACATCGTTCATAATGGCCTCATGCTGCATTAAATGTTTATGATTCAATGAGCGGTGTCGTAAAATCAAGGAAAGTCTAAACCCGGCATGGCGCGGCGCTGCTTCGGTGATTAGTCACTGTAAATGTTTTTGACCATCTGCCGCTCTAATCGTGTTATAATCAGTGACACACGAAAAAGTCGAACGATTACCAACTTTACGGTTATGGCCTTCGTAATCGGGTATTTTCCACCAAGGCAGTGCTATCTCCCAAATACTAACCACTGAAAAGGAGGCGGAAAGGCCAACGTTTGTGTAAATAAGCTATTGCACCTAAGATGTCAATATTAAATGGCATTGATTATATTCTTCGGTGGGTGTGCATCCTTGAATCCCCCAACACTGGAAACCCACGTGAAAACTACCCCAACCTCATCCCTCCATGGCTTTGTCGTAACGGATCCAGCTATGCATTATACATTTTGCGGTAAATAAACCGGGCAAGATTTGTCACTAAAGGAATTTTCAGCTACATATGTCAGTCTTAAAAGGCCCAGATTTTCTGGAGGCGCACGTAAAGGTTATAAACATTTTGCTTTTTCTGCTAGTCAGTCCCAACTATTGCACCCACCTTTACAGATTGCTTTCTGTACAAACCAAAACCAATGCGAATTTCTGCGAATGTTTCCAGTTTCAGATGCTTTCGAGGTGTTCGAAACACCATGAACCTTTTTTCGAGTGTCATTTTCTGCTGCTATTTCGATCATAGCATTTTGCGATGTGATGTGCCATAAAATTTTAATGACATTTGATATGACTTCTCGCACGCATGCCCTCAAATTTTCACGGCAATCGATTCAATTTTACTCCTGGCAGCCCAGCAACGGCATGTTTACAGCGAGTCCCTTCAAATTTATGAGTGAGGCTTTCGCAAGATCAGCTGCGTCCAGCGCGCTTAAACGTTGAGCAAAGCCTGGGCTGCTCTCGCAGAGAAAGGAGTTAAACGGAAAAGAATAGTGGTTTCGGGTGAACAGCGCGCAACTTCGTACAGTCAAGGACACGTGTGGCCATACAGATTTGGTGACAAAGTGGCTCCCCGCCTCTTTAACGTCATTGGCTCTGCTAGAGAAAGGGACAGAGCGACGCACTTCCAGCAACTTTCCTGAAAAGTATATAGTCCCGCTCAACGTTATGGTGACTGTTACGTAGTTCATGCGCTCTGGTTCCTGCAAGCAGCAGAGTAAGACATATCGTGGGCACACGTCATTACGTCGTTAACGATTTCTTTTGTTGGAAAGCTCAATTTAAGTATGTACTGTTCAATGACAATCTTTATTTTGTGGAAACCACCGGTTTTGATGACGTTCAAAAACTGTTGCTAGGAATTTCAAGCCATGCTTCCGCACTTTCCTTGTGGAAAGGATTGTGATTGATAACCTTCTTGATACACATCTTGCAGCTGTATATATATATATATATATATATATATATATATATATATATATATATATATATATATGTATATGTATATCCGATATTTGCCGACATTCGTGATGCTTAACACCAGGCAAAGATCACTGGTGGGAAAATGGTCCTGCCAAGAGAAATACGTGACGATGCAAGCTCACATGTGTTAGTGACCACCGTAGTCAGCTATTATTTTCCTAGTGCTTCTTACCCAGCATGGCTGCCAAGCACAGGAGCCTTGCTTTAATGAGCGCACTTATTTTTCTAATAAATCATTTATAACCTCGTTTGGGGTGCAGGCAATATCGGTCGCCAGGATTCCGCCAATGCGGGGAGTGAGAAGACTTCCTTTAGGCCTCCATAGCTCTGCTTTTTACCGAATCCAGCCCACTCATCTTCATGCAGGGTGCCGAGTTCACACCAGCAAGGGCCCCTTGCCTTAACAAAGGGGTCTGAGCGTTTCTGGAAAGTTCTTAAAACGGATATTGATAATTTGTCTTTGCAATTCCTCAAAAGAAAGTAGTATGCAAACGCAAAATATTGATTTAGGCGCTCTTCGCGCGCGTGGAGAGTCACGCTGCGGCCCTCAGGGTGTTCCAACTCCTCGAGGAATCATTCCTTTCGACCCCCATCCCTATCCTTCCGTTTGAATTACTTCCAGAGCTATTTGTTGGAGCCCTGAGCCCAGTTGCCCTGATGCCATCATGCGAATTGTACCCATTAAGTTCACTGGATAATTTGGCACGGCGGGGTTGGCGCTTTTGGAGATAATTTGGCGTTTTTTTGCGGACGGGATAGCGAGAGACCTTGCTCGAGCCGTAAAATGCAACAGCACGTCCGCCCTGTGCCGGATCAGCCCTTTGTGGCCGGTAGTCAACACCCCTTCCATTGTTAGCCGGAATTAACTATCACCTCAGACGGCCTCACATGCAAAATCTTCTGGCAGAAAGAACACCGTGTTTTGGCACATGCTTGCCCATTCCTGACGTACGTGATTTCATGTCCTGTTCTGCAGGTCATCAGCCGTGCCAGAAACTCTTCACTATAGGGGAAGCAAGGCTGGTACGATGCCGACCCACTCTTAAACACCAAACCACCACAACCAGACGCCGTTGCTGCAAATTGTTTCCAGTACGCCATCGAAGCGGTTCTACTCTGACTTGACCCGGCACTCGGATACATTGACGATAGTTGGCGCTGAACTCGCCAGTACTATGGATTTGTTAGAAAAATTATAACTTCCAAGTCTAGGAACCGTAGCGGTAATGTCTGTTCCAAACACTGGCTTGTACGTTTAAAATGGTCTCCCCCGGGAACTGCAAGGCTCGTGGCTTCGTTGAAGACTTCTACTGCTTCGATGTTGAGCACTTCCAAAGTGAGTAGAAGTTAATACTTGGTCATGCTAAGGAATGTTTGTTATCTTTGGGTACAAGAATGATCGAACAGAAGACCACTCTCGACCAACGGTACAATTGGTGTTACGTGGAAATAAGTCTGAAATGCCAAATATCCCGCAGATTTTGATCCGTGAAAGACAGGGGCCCAGTTGTGATTTCCTTAAGGGTGGAGGGGCTCTGTGAGAACGCATCACGCTGGTTTCAAAATTTTGACCCGAGCCATCTATGGTGAAGAATGTTAAAAATGCGTGTTTAAGCGGGGCGCCACCCCACCCCCTGACTAGCGCCTAGTGGCGGGCTTCTGCTCAGTACGGGGAGTCACGTCACACCAGACCTGAGCCCACGTAATGTAAATGTCGACAGCATATTTTACCGGATATTACCCAAATGTTTGATCTAAAGCATAATCCCGAGAGTGACTGCGAAAAATAAGGGCGCTAAGCGGCGAGCCGTCACGGCAAGCTCCCTCTTCGGACCTGGGCGCCATTACTGCGGAGCTTGGGAGGCACAGATATCTTAAAGTATGATTCCAGTTTTCAGATTCAATCCTTGCCTGTGCTTTAAGTGATTATAACTCCGAGAGCTTCCGTCCATCAAATCAGTCATCATTTTTGTTGTGATATTTATATTCAGCTGTGCATAATGTCTTCAACAATCGCGACACAAACACCGACACAAAAGCCGAGGGTCTGTGTGATCATCACGCCATCCCTATAGCGTCATGTTACCTACATAGCCCCCGGTATTGTGCACAGCGTAGTCCCCTACACAGCATGGTTCCCGGCTGGCGCGCCTCCGCGTCTGAGCGAGCTGTCGTGCTCAGAGGCCCAGCCGCCTCACCAACGGCCGGCCGCCAAACAAGGCGGCTCCGGTCGGCCGGACCCGCCACGTGGCCCTGGCCACTGACCGCGTCCGACCTCCAGCACAAGCGTGCCGGAGTCGTGGCCAGCGACAGCTTTGGGCGGATGGCTGGCACCTCAGGGTGGACATCGGGTCAAGATAAAAGGCAAGGTGTACTTCATATGAGCGAGAAGAGTCTGGAGCTCCTGTTTTCTGTCGTTGTGTCTGATGCAGCCGTTTGTGATGCTCGTTGCTTGCGATCGGCCGGAGTTGTAATATTTTTGTTTTTTAGGTGTTAAGGGGAACGTGAACATGGTTGAACAACGCGAACCCTGTCTGTCAGGGTAGTGGTTGGTCGTGATCTGACGAGGTTGCCTGCCCGTGCTCATACGTGATTGTCGAGGCCACATATTTGTGGCAATACGCAGTGACCGGTTAATTTATTCCGCCCAAATCGGCAAGAAAATCAATGGAGCGAATCGCGCGGAGCGA